GTATGAACCTTTTTGACGTGTAGCTCGCTGGTTGGTTTTCGTGAAGGTTAAGGGAGCTTTGTGCGGGGGAGAGGCAACCGGCGCATCGATATTTAGAGGGTCCGTTTCGGTGACACGGCAGTATATTGTGGCTGTAGTTTACTACGCATATTTACGTCGGAAAGATTTACCGAAAAACGTTTTGTGTTCTTAGGAATGAACAAGACCAGATTGGTACATGCATAGACTACACCGCATGAATGTACCTCGAATCCAGCGACTACAAAGTGGCTGACCGGATAGATTGGAGATGTCATTCGTTCTACGCATACCGGTAACGGATGTTACGTGATTTGGAGATTTGTCCAAAAAACATACCGGTAGAGGCAAGCAAGCCTGTTGCTGCAGGAGCTTCACACGTGTTGTGTCCGGTGTCTGAGCGGTCGCCTCCAAGAAAGAGGGTGGATTTGCCTCAGCTAACCGCCAAGATGGATAGCTTACGTTCTCCCCTGGGGCATACCCCGCAGCTCATCGCGTAGCTTCAAGATGCCTCTCAAGTAAACGCCTACCTCTTACAAAAACAACGCCAACATGCGGTCGAGCACGAGCCACTCTTTCCTCCCGGAACCTCTCTCTCCAGCGAAATGAATCATTCACCAAGCGACTCACTCAACGAAACGTGCGGAAAGCATTGACATGCACTCGTGGCCAGCGACTAATCCACAAGGGAACACACAACTATCCCTGCCTCCGGCCTCAACCACTTCCCCTTCTCCAACCATGTTGGTAGTGCACGATAGCCTTCGCGTCACTTCTTCGCCGATGACTATCCCCAACGAGATCAAAGAACGACATTTTCCCAACAAAACGCCAGCAGCAAGCCTGTAAAGGCCGCAACAACGGGGACTACCCCGAACCCCGTTCTCGCCACCATCTTATCGTCGTTGTAGCGGCGGCGGCGCCCCCACGGTTTCAGCGACGGGGCGGCGGCCCCCTTGATGCTCGGGGTGCAAACGATCTCGGGTTGCCGACCGCTGGCCCACTCCACGTCTCGAAATGGCTGCCCTGCAAGTGCAAGTTCATTCGACGTTGGATCATACGTAGTCACTGCGTGCAGCAGCCACGAAATGCGTATTATGGTGAAGCTCTTGTGGGATGAGATGCTAGTGGTCGCCGCAAATAAACCATACGGTTGATGGCTCCCACGAAACGCGCTATCTCGACATTGTAGGTAAGCACCGGAAGGCACACGAACCGATTGGCCCAGCTTGCTCATCCTTGGACGAATCCTCGTGCTTCATTCACGATGCAGTATTTGGAACGTGCACAATGTCTAGTCTATGAAGTACACCGGAAAGGATACGTAACAACCCGGCCTCTGTGGCACTTCATGGAGTATAACCCTTGGGGGTGTTGTAGGTGACGGAGTGACCATGTAGTAGGTTCTCGTTCGGTCTGTCTTCATTAAATTCAAATGGTCAGCAAATACGAGTGTAGTCTGACTACAGTACACAGGTAATCAAAGACACGAGGCCTTCGCAGAAATTTAACATGGTACTTATTACATCTTGCCTGGGAAAAAATCTCTCAGGTAGACGGGGTTGCCGTCGGAATCGGTCTCCGGCTCTTCCGCTTCGTAGCCGTTGAAGTACTGGCTTTCCCCGCACCGCCACATATCCCTCTGGTTCTGACAGGCTACCATCAGATTCTCGCACGCGCTTCGGCAAGTCACGAGGCTGTTTCCGTCATCATCGCACCTACAAAAATTGCCGTTCGCAGCCTTGGGGTTTGGAAGGCTGTCGTGGCCTCTTGAAGGCGCAGTATTATGGCCGTTGCGCCATCGGTACAGTGGTAGCGTGCTGCACGTCTGCTGCAAGTCGAGGAGCTGTCCTGCTCTTGTAGAACAGCTCAATGTTCGTTCACTGCTGTCGCAGCGAGTGACTACAGTTGTACAGATGGTGCTTGCTCATTGACCACATAGCATTACGAAAGTTGGCAGCCAAATGCCAACAAGGAGGTGCGTGCTCCTGCAAGCCATGCAACATGTTCCATCCGCTGTCGTCGCCTCATTTGAGTTTGGCATTCACCTCGAACCGTGTCCGAGCTCTGTGCGAGCTGATTGTGCAGATGAATCCACGTGGCGCACAGTATGTGTATTTCAGAAGGAGAAAAAACCAAGTTTCCGCAGTGCCCTTTTGACTTTTCTTGATCTCAGGCTACATGTAGGGCGTGGACCAAGCTCAGTCCGTGAAAGCATCCCACGTGGTTCGTGAACCACCAGCGAGTTCACCCTGTTAAGTTATCGGCTGTGAATGTACTGTGCGTTATTTTTCCAGTGTAAATGGGCTGTCTTCATTTGGGAGGTGCTATCCGTAGGACCAAGAGGCCCGGGGATCTACAGTAGTTGGCGGGTACGCCCCGTATCAAAGTTCTCCAACACCACGCAACCCATCTTCGGGGCCAGAACTCTTGTGCCCAAGAGATCTACTCTACCAGAGGTCTGTAACTTGGTCTGTGCGCGCATCTAACCTCGGGAAATTGATGTAGCACATGTAGGCCTTGAAGGCCGATTGGCAGTCCCTGTTGTCCGTGAATCGTGGGACCGGAGAACCTGGGTTACCGTACTCGTCGATACCTGCGGGACGCAAAAGGCGGGGGAAAGCCGAAAAATTGCAAGATGTATTTATGCGCTCACTCGCCGAAGTCTGGCAAACAAGCCGCCAAGTTGGATATCCGCAGGCAGATGTAATCAACTCTGCGCACGTCTCATAGAAGTTCGTTACCACCCGCGTTGACGTTCTTGTAAGGAGGCCAGAAGATAATATCGCCCAAAATAGCCATCGTGAGACCGCCACCAAATCGTTTCGGCGCTTTTACAAAGTACATGCGGCCACAGGCCATCTCGTCGACTAATCCACTGCAGCCGAGCGGAACTTGGTGGGCCCCGCGAATGATTGATCGGAGATCAGCTACGGAAGAGGGATGCTCACTGCTACATGGGATCATCACCGAAAGGAACAGTCCAGGTGGTAAAATAGCTCCGATGAGAAAGAGTATTCAGGGGTGGCCAAAGGGTTGTTGAAGCTGGTGGTGCCCAACCTCCCCGGGGTCAGGTTGGGACGTTGGGGATCGACCTTGACAACACGCAGTCTACGCTCCCAGTCCGCCCTATTGATTGGACCAACGCCGCAATCCGTGATACGGGGCTAGCTGCATACGTCGGCGTACAACCTGACCCTCGGGAGGTTGTGCACCAGGTACAGCCTATCTTTGGCCACCCGCGTTCGACGCAAGAGTACGAAGAGCGGCTCACGCTGATCCATGTAGTAACTGTTCGTCCGTGCGAGTGGCTTCTGTGGCCGTAGGCAGGCTACGCTGTGAAACTTTACCGTATGCCGCACTGTGTAAAGTCTACATTCGAAAAGTTCGACTGTTGTTATACTTTTGACCTCGGTTGGGCCAGCGCACTATGCCCAACCTTGCTTTTGAAGGTCCTTGTCTGCCTCCACCTCCAACCGGCTGTTGACGATAGAGTTGTAGTACTGCTCTATCCAGGCGTCCTTTATTCCCATGGTATTGTTGACCCACCGCCCGTCCGGGAACTCTCTGGAAGCGGGTAGTGGCTGCGCGGTATCCCGCGAAGAAAAACATTCGGGGAATAATCCCGATTAGATTTCTCCATCATGAAGGGTAATGGTGCACGTATGCATTGGACCAGTACAGAGGAGATGGTTGCTGAACTACCGGAAACAAAGCAAGAGGCGGCTCCAACAAAGGACGCTGTTATTGCTCAGAAGAAAAGAGTGCTTGGAAAAAGTACAGTTGCATGCGTAGACCAGACTAGTCTATTGATTGTGCTGCGATATGTAGCAATACCTGCACACGCCAGCCAATGACCGCGAACATGCCCTTGGTGCTTCGGCCCAGCACGTATATTGTGCGCAGTCTTATTAAGATCGTAACTTGGTGCGTGTGCTGGATACCACGCGCAGAAAATGCTGCGTTGGCCAGAGGTCGGTTTACTTGATCGGTGCGCTTCTTCGTGGGACTGCGGCCGGAACAACGGCAGGCAGCAGCTATTCTTCGACTGGTGCAGTAGTCTAATATAAAACCTCCTTGACGGGATGCAGAATTGCACGTTGTATCATACGATGTCGCAAGCCTGTAATCCATCTGATGGAGGATTGATTTTGACCTCCCTTCACTCACATCGTACTTCGGCACACATGCCGAATACTTGATGTACGAAGAGCAGAACGGAGTCGCTGCGAGCCTGATGCGGGGAGCGCGGCGCGGGTGAGCGAGGTGTAGGAAGATTGATGCGAAGCCAGCACTACAGTACGGTGTTACAATTCACCCATTTCCTCGTGAGATTTTCGCAGGAGACGAGCGGAGGGGCAAGTCCCTCGACGGCTGCCGGTGACATGTATGCGGACGGTAGTGTATGCACCAGAGCAGGCAGTGGTCTACGCTATTAGGTGATATTATTGCGCCGCGTTTTCTACGCCGCCGCGATCGTCCGCCCCTCAGCCGCAGAGAGCTACAAACGTGTTGCACTACACCCCCCAACTGCTGTAACAAGCTCACACACCTGAATTCGCTGTCATCGTAGAGCGATGTCTCGCAGTACCCAATATCCGCCCCATGGATGTAGCAGCCTTCCGATGAGGCACACCCGGCGATGAGGACAGCGCCTACTGCAACCCACAACCCCGACAGCCTTCTGCAGCATCGCGTTGGTAGCCGAGACTTGGCCCAGCAGTGCTTCTCCGGGCATGTACGCTGCCGCCTTGTGGCCCCGTGCACCTGAGGTCCCATGGAGTTTGCTCAGTTCCTCAGAAGGAGCAAAAGAGCGGCCGTTTACGGGCTCCAAAAAAGATCTTGTTCTCCCAGATCTACGAAGATCTTGTTCTCCCAGATCTTCACTGCTGTAAACGCGCTGCAAAGCGACTTTCCAAATCAATCTCGTCGCATATAATGGCGAGTGGGCATGCCCTTTCAAACACACCACGCACGCCACAGACAACGGCCCCACACGTGCGACACCATGGTAGGGTCCAATATAGAGAGGGGTAATGGTCACCAAGGGCAAATCCCGGCAGGATTCAGCAAACAGGGCGGTTAACGGCGCTGCTGTAGTTCCATCCGCATTCGGTTTCCCTGCTCGGCAGGCCGCCAGGCAACACCTCAGGCCAAGGCGAGCAAGCGCGAAGCAGCAAGATGCCGAGAGCATGCCCTTCTTGCTGGATAGCGTCAGCCAGGTTGTTGAAAGGAGAAGCCATCATGTCTCGGGCATCGAGGTTGCAGCAGCAGGTGTGTGAGAAGCTTGTTCTTGTCTCTCTCGCCATCTGTCTACATACATGTCCGCCTGGTGTGTCCGCCTGCTGTGTCCGCCTGGTGTGTCCGCCTGGTGTGTGCGTGTGTCGCTCCTAGTCCCCTCTCTCTCGTCTCGCCGCACTCGATCGCACCCGCAATACCACCCCAACTCTTCGTCTCGCACTGCATGTCGAAGCATGTGTCGGGTGTTATTCCTGATTCACGAAGCTGATACCCACATGTGTGCGTCCCTATTCTTGTATCAGGACCTCCGACTCTGTAGCACACGTTTCGAAGATGCTGGCGCCACCGACGGTGCTGCTGTTACCCACTGCGTAAAGCACCTGCAGTCTGCGTCTACATGTATTTTGTACATGGGCATATACATGCCGAGAGTACCACTGCTGTGCCCCCGAAACTACTGCTGTATCACCGAAACCTGCTGTAATCCGCCAGTCAAGTCGGCAGCAGCAGTGGTAAATCGTTTGTTTTTTTTGCGTACCATGTGCAGCAGTACACAAATGTATGCATACAGCAATTTTTGCGCTCATGCTTTGTGGTGTGTTCGTCCACAGCAGCATCCATTCTGCCAGCGTGCAGTCCTTGTAAGACAGAATGTGGATTGTTTCGTACAGCAGTACAACGTATTCGTCAGAATACGCCCCATCACCCCTGCGACTGTTGTCGACACCAAACATGCGTGACCACGACACGACAAAAAAAGGTACTTTTCTTGTAGGACGTTTTCACCTACATTGACCTACCGCTCCCTCGCGCACACCCGACAATTTCTGAGGTGCGAATGCTTCAATATTTGACTGAGCGTCCCGCAACGTTGCCACTTTTTTGTTTCACGTCATTAAGGCGAAAATGCCGCTACAGGGGGCGATCGCACATCATGCAGCCGGAAGAACATAAAAAATTGGATCTTCCGCGCGTGACCGAGTAGACGGCTGGTAGAGGAAAGGCCTTCCCGAGAGCAACGGACGCAACTGGCGCGAAAGCAGCGCTCGACAACGAGGATACAGCGCGGAGAAACGGGGCACCGCCTACGGCACTTTGGAGGACTTCAAGAACGAAATTGTGGAGGTAATCTCCGAAAGCAAGAATTGATTCAGGCAGCCCACCCCTTCGATTTTCTTCCTGCCACAGAACGAGCTTGCACGATCATCTTCATGCCATTCTCCGCTTGTATCGGCACAGAAACGCCTTTTCTGAGCTATCCCAAGCCTCAACATATTTGTGTGCCATCCTGCCCACAGTGTTGATTTTCCTTGTCTCGAGTGTGTGCGCAACGAAACGGCAGATCGACGCACCAGCAATATAAAAAACGATGTACGGCAGTAGCAGTGTTGCCTTGCAATTTTCGCCCACCCGACCTCCCCCCGATCGCCCTTCTCACTTAATAATGTCGCAGGTTGATGAAACGGCGGGGGAATAACTCGCAGTATGAGGGAGGGATGAGAGCGAGCGGGAGTTGGGTGGGGATATAGGAGGGCTCGTTGCTCTAGGGGTGATCCAGGTGACATTCCTGCATTATCGCCATATATTTCTGGGACACATTCGTTTAGCACAACGTGTATTCGATACGTTCGGGTTTTGGCGTCCCTCGCATTCGTGCTTGGTTATGCATGTCGGTGTGGTTCCTGGAAGGCCCACGCACTTGCCATTGTTGGTATAAAACGGAGGGCGAAGACGGTACGGTGGCAAGATTTTTTTGTTGTTCCACGCCACTCGTAAAACCGTGGCATACTTGTTTTTCAAAGGGCGAAGCAATGCAGTTGTAGGTAAAGTAGGTTAAGCACCTCTTGAGCAAACAAGCATTGCATGAGAATTGAATGACACATGCTGAAATGTAGGTGCAAATATGTTTGTAGCAGCATCGCATGCGTTCGTAGTTTGGGGAGCAGGAAAGAGAGCTGAGCCGATGCTCAGAAATATACCTTGCCCTGACACCGATTAAGATTTTTTTTGCCGTGTCGTAACCCGTTTGACAAAGGATCTTTCAGCATGGCCATGTGTGTGGTTCCCTTTGTGTACGTCGTTTTCAGGTGGGCTCCCTTTTTTGGGCCAACGTGCCACGTGCGTGATTTTTAAGGAAGAGAATGGAGGTAGCACTAATCATGCTCCGGTGGTCACGGTATACTGCGCTTTGTGTCAAGGGACCAACGCATTTTACCGCGTGAATGAGTTCTCAACATTTTGTTGTTCGTGGTGTGTAAACCACAAACGCCACACCTCTCCACAAGGAGTTTTCTCTATTTCGTGCGGTCTACAATAGTTCACTAACCGTGCAGAACACCCCCCTCCATGAGAATCTCCCCCCCAAAAGACTGGCCGAAGCTCAAAACTTTGAGTTAAGCCCTGGGGCATTTTACTTTTATTCGTCGCGGTTGGCCAATGTCCGAGGCATTCACTCCCGGGATCTTTAGCGTTTCATTCGCCTCCGTAGGGTGGCACTTCTCGTTCTGCAATTATAGCCCCTTCGACCCATAAATTTAGTGTAGAGGGTGTCTATCGCGACCTTCGGACGCACGAAACACATACACCCATACACAACCAGCAGATCACATCAGCCACAACTCCGGCGTACAGGCAAGCACCTCTACCTGGTGCTTTGCTGCAGCACACTGAGAATAGGAACAACAACATGCCAAGTAAAGACGCCAAGCGCAAAGGTTGCAAGAGCACATCGCAGGGGGGCATTTGTCTCCCACCTACGTCTTGAGCCTATTTTAGGGGATGGTGTTCGACAAAAGTAAATTCACCTTGGACAGTTGCACAGCACCTTTCCATGAAAAGGCAGCAAACAAAAATGAACTCCAAATGGAAAACCGCCTACCGAAACTTTCTCGCCGCCCTTGTCCGTGTAGCGGCCAGTGGGTGCTTGTCGAAATGGCGCAACCCAATATAATTCCCTAGCCCCCCTCTGGTTGGGACCAAATTGTGTCCGGACGGTATCCACGCTGCTCGTCCAGCAGTATCGTCATCGTCATGCGCGTGTCGACTTCGTCGGACCCCGTTCGCTTGTCCATGCCAGTCTTCTTGATATTTTTTTCGGTCACGTATCGTTGGATGCTCGCCTCAGGCATTAGATCACGAAATTTTCAGGGGCAAGGTAACAGCACGGCGGTTGGGTTTCCTGTTAGCTGACGCCATGTATCCAACTCACAACCCAGGGCCTCCCGCACGACAGGTGCATTGTCAACGTTCACGGAAGCCCTGTGGCATTATTGCGTGTTTTTCGAAAGGCGATATCTGGAGGCACACGCCCTAATAGCCGATATCTGTTCAGTTTTAGGTGGGTCTAGGATGGTGGTGTGAGGTGTCGGAAGGGAAGGATTGAAGCCCTTGCAGACGATCCTGAATTCTCAACCTCTTTGGGTTTGTGACCCAGCCCGAAAGATAACCCAGGAGTCGAAGCAAACCGCACAGACCAGTTCCGGAGCATTGAGCACGAAAAACAAGTTCGGATCTGCCCTGCTGTACCTGTCAACCTGTTTCACTGCTGTAGAACCAGTGCTAAAATGGCGTTGCTAAGGGGTATTATTAACGACCAAAAAATCACGGAACATTTCACGGAAGCGTGTTTTCTTGAACAAATGTGGAGGCGTTCTTCCCCGAAAACGTGAAAAGAAGGAGCCGGGATGTTTTGGGGCTTGCTACTTTCACGGATCCGTGTTTTGACAGAAGCATCGGACAAGCGCACCGCGGGCGCTGTAACATCACTGAGAACGCTAGAAAGACCTGCCAGACTCACGTCCAGATCTGTTGTGGAGATGGACAAGCGGCAGAAGTGGCGTTCAGTCCGTTCTTGGCCCAAAATTTGACATTGCGTTGTGCTCTCGTCTTCAACTGCTGCTGTTGGTGCTGGGGAATTTGGTTCAATCACACATTGCAAACAAGGAAACAACAGTGGAACGAGTGCAGCAGCAGCACCAAGACCTCCAACGCGCTGATTCCTTCGGTTCGGCTGTCTATATGACCGGTCGCCCCGGAGGTCTAGTGGGTAACCTCGCAGCCTGCTAAAGGCCAGGTCATGGGTTCGAGTCCCGGCAGAGTGAGTTTTTTTCTCACTAAATAAATCCTGGTCTAGGATGAAAGCGACGCGCTGCAAAGCTCGTTGTTAGTAAACCATAATCGACTTCGTAAGTCGCGAGGGAAGGGGTTGCTGTACCCTTTTCGCGATAAAATACCTCAGGCAGGAACCGCAGGAGGGGGTCCAGCCCCCCCCTCCTATGTGACCCCGGTTGGGTCGTCTATAGCTAGTAGAAGTGGAGGATAGGGGCCAGAGGGGCAGACAACAGAGTCCAATGATGGGAGAAAAAAAAAAAATGATACCATCTCCCGGCGCCGTGCTGCTTCGTGGGTACTGGGTGCTTGAGTGCTGCTCAATAAGGTGTGTGAGAGACATGTGCCACCTCACCAAAATGCCGTTGTAAAACAATGCGGCGAGATGATCTATTTTTGTTCGGACACGTCAACATCAATCCACGGCACCACGCAGCAGAAGAGCAGCAGGGCCTCCGACACGCTAATTCTTTCGGATTGGCCATCTATATGATGCTAGCCGTCAGCGCGGCTGCCGCCTTATGATTGTTGAGCTCGTCTACCTTTGGGCAGGTGGTGGTCAAAGATGGGAGTCGCAACCGAAATGAGCTGGCAAACTGAAGGAATCGCAAGCAACACCCAGCTTGCGACACTCTGCCCTGCGCCTGTTGTTGTTGTTGCTGAAAACTGAATTCAGCAGGCCGGGTGGATAGGATCTAAGTGTGTTATCCTCCGTGTCGTGTGCTGCTTATTGCGCTTTTACCGCTGCTCTATGGTGAGCAACACCAAGTCAACCTGTTGTGTGCCGAGCAAAGCGTGTATTTGGGAAGGAAACGTACTTTTTGCGATGACATCACGAATAGAACAAGCGAAAAAAGTCGGGTTTTCTTTTCACCGTTCCGTGAAAAATTGCACGACTTTTCCGAAGCGTTAATAACGAGCCTAAAGCGGGGGGTTGTCTCAAGTTGTTTGTCTCCTTCGAAATTCTTCCAACAAAGTACGACAGGGTTTGCTCATCCCTAGATTCTAGCTCCACCCAAGCTCCGCCCCTACATGGTCGACTCAAAGGTGGTCTCCAAGAATATGTCGTACTACACCACCAGTGGCGTGTTTCGAATCTACAGCACATCGCCGTGAACGAACGCTTGTAAACTGCTGGTGCTGTGACCACGCCAATACATACCCAACACGACTGACCCTTGTGCTGCTTAATGCCGACAATTTCACGCGTTCGTTCACAACAACGCTTTGCACCGGTTGGCTCAAGTGGTATCAGATCAGTGCATAGGTAACGCACATATCTGCACAGCAGCACTAGATTCGTCAGGCACGTGTGCATAGAATGGTCCGTCGTTGGTGTCATGGGACACGAAGCTCAGCTCCTCCGCAGTGCCAAACAGCACTGTGACATCGAAGGACAAAGCTCTCAGCAATATCCGCCCCAAATCGGCGAAAGCGAACGAATCTTCGACAGCGCGCCAACGCCGTTGTAGACTCTGTTCCTGCACATGATGCGACGCAACAGCAGCCAGCGTGTTCGATGAGGAACAACAACCAACACAGATACAAGAGCGTAAAAGAACAAAGACACAAAACAAATGGACCAATGCTGATGCCAAGTGGTACAAAGGTCAAGCCTCGGTAGAAGAGGCTGCCATTTGTAGCCACCGTGACAACGGGGGGAAGCGGATGTTCAAAAAGATACCCGCACGGATGTTGCATAGACTATGTGTTACGGTTCGGGGTAGGTTAACTCGCTACATCGTTCATTACTCCGTCTGAAGACTCCGTGTTTTTAACACGCGTTGTGCGATTATCAGGCCGAGTTGATGATGTTGTACCAGGTAGGTTAACTCGTTACATCTATCTATCATTACTCCGTCTGAAGACTCCGTGTTTTTAACACGCGTTGTACGATGACGGTTGAGTTGATGATGTTGTACCAGGTAGGTTAACTCCGATACATGCGTCTCCACGAGCCACTCATATCTCTGGCCGCCAAAAGCACATCTTTAGCACGGATGGACTTGTGGCGCATAGAGGGGGGGGTGAAGTTTTTCCCTTCTTTTATTATTAGTATTATTTTTTTCTTTTCTCTCCTTTATTATTTTTATTATTTTCATTATTTATATTCTCTCCTTTCTTTTCATTGTTCCTTCTTTTGTTGTATTTTTTTTCTCCTTTCTTCTCTTTGTTCCTTCTTTTTTGTTTTTTTTTCTCTCCTTTCTTTTTTCCTTATTGATTTGTTTTTTTCTTTTACTTTTATTGGTCTACCCCTCCTTTTCTGACTTACTTTTGACATGTCTCATCTGTTGTAGGTGCATCCAGTAGGTGACCGATTGCGGTACGCGTATCCCGTTGTTGCGACCGTCTGATCCATACCCTGACCTTGCGTTATTCCCTCCGGCTTCGTCCTTTGCCGTCGTCACTTCTTCCTCCAGTTGGCGACCGTTGCAAATGCTGCACGACCAGGACGAGAGCAATAAGCTGTCACCTGCTGCTCTGCACATATTTTCACTAACCGTTTCTGAGGCTTAATATTTTTGTACGTTGGTCAGCTGCGTCTTGTGGCAACTTATCACCGTTGTTTATTGCTTTACATGCGGGACGTCTATTAATAAATGTTGTCGCCACACTATTCTCGCTCATATGCCAAAATTGACAAGAAAACCTTTTCGTTTTTGCCTTCACTCTCTCCCGTACCTGTTCTTCCTTTTGCTTCCTGTGCTGCATTTTTCGAGCTCTGTTGCCCTGAGCTGGTTGCGTTTTGTGCGCCGATCGCGATGTGTTAAACTTCCTTCCGCTGTTCTCTGCGCCGCTCGTCGCTCTGCTGTCTTCCTTTTGCTCCTTGGATGGCCTCCTGTATTTGGCTCTGACCAAGCGGCGCCTTTTGCTCCTTGGATTTCCTCCTGTCTTCGGCTCTGACCAGGTGGCGCCTTGTACGTCGGTCGCTTTGTGTTAACTTCCCCACGGACCTGGTTGCACTTTTCGCTCCGAGCTGCGGTTACAGTTTCTGCGCCTTTCGCGGCATGTTGACCCTCCTTCTGTGCTCTTTGTCACTCTTCACGCGCTTCTGAGGTACGCTGGGTGCGTACGGCGCAACTCGTACGCCGCGCACAGGGCGTTGTTTTTCATCTTTTATCTCCTTTTAGCATTTCTTTCCCTTTGTCCCTCTATATTCTTGGTTGTTGGTTAGCAGTGCGCCTGGTATGTGCGCCCCGCCGAGCGTTGTTCTTCTAGGCCCTATTTATCATTTTTTCTTCATATTTATTTTGCCTTCCTTTATCTAATCGCTGTGAGCGCGTTTTATCTGTACGCTGTCACTGCCGGTTGTGCGCGGTTGCGTCTTGTGAATCCGGTGCGCCTTGCGTCGGCCGGGGCGCTGCTGAGCGTGCGAACGTCGCTGCTGTGCGTCTGCACATTTCGATCGAAGCCGGCCCACCCCGAGCGCGCCATGTTCGCCGACGGGGGGGAGTGGGGAGTTGCCCCTAAACGTGGCAGCGGACACAGGGTCCACGGCGAGCGGTCCACCGGGCGCTATGCGTGCCGAAGGGCCCGGATTTACTCGTTCGACGCCAGCAGGAGGATACCCTTTGGGGTCAGGTTCGGGAGGATCTAGAGAAGGATGTAGCAGGTTACAGTGTGGATATGAGGTTGAGAGCGGCAAGCCCAAGCTTCTGATGTCGACCCCCAAGTGCATGGTGGCCAATATTCTCGATAAAGTCCACACATGACATGAACTACAAGAGCCAGACTACCATTGTCACTAATTCGTGATTACTTCATTGGCCCGAACCCGATTCGGCCGCTCTTGCGACTTTTGGCCAGAGCCACTGGGCACCTTGAGTGTTCCTTTCGACGCTTTGGGAGGAAACACACGTCTCACGTCGTGATGTTCTATTTCTTCTTTTTCTTGCTACCAGTGTTCCACGCCGGTGGTGTCCCGCTAACAGCGTGGCTCCGCCAGTCTTTCGTGNATGTAGCAGGTTACAGTGTGGATATGAGGTTGAGAGCGGCAAGCCCAAGCTTCTGATGTCGACCCCCAAGTGCATGGTGGCCAATATTCTCGATAAAGTCCACACATGACATGAACTACAAGAGCCAGACTACCATTGTCACTAATTCGTGATTACTTCATTGGCCCGAACCCGATTCGGCCGCTCTTGCGACTTTTGGCCAGAGCCACTGGGCACCTTGAGTGTTCCTTTCGACGCTTTGGGAGGAAACACACGTCTCACGTCGTGATGTTCTATTTCTTCTTTTTCTTGCTACCAGTGTTCCACGCCGGTGGTGTCCCGCTAACAGCGTGGCTCCGCCAGTCTTTCGTGTTTCATCGTCGGTGGCTAGCAACTCCTTTTCATGTTCCTTACATACATGTCTCGCCCTAAGCACATGACACCCTGAGTGCCACACGCGTATCCGCACCGGTCCTGGCGCTCCCAATCGCGTGTGCGTTACCGGTGGGGTGGCGCGGCCTGCGTTACACGTTTAACGTACGTTCTAATCCTAACCCAGACCCCGCGTTACTATTTGCGGCTATCGTCCGTTGCCCGTCACCTGTGCATGCTCAGGCTGCCGCTCCGCACTTTCCTTTGTTTCGTCGTTGGTTAGGCTAGTACCACACGCACTGTTTTTGATTGCACACATCGCCGAACAACTACCTCACCGACCAACCCTAACCCTCACGCGTTTATGCCATGAGCTCTGCCCGTTCCGTGTCCCCTGTTTATTTTTGTCGACCGCCGAGTGTACACGCATTGCATTACAACAGAAGAGACAACCGCGGTTGGTTGCTTTCCGCAAGGGGGGATATCGCGTGACCGTCGTAGCACTGTTTCCCGGGGACCGCTGACTACTGCTTTCCGCAAGGGGGGAGGTGCCGCGGCCAGGAGCACGGGTTTCTGAGAGGATGTCGTACCACCCAGGCACTATCGAAGGCCGAGGGGATTATCCGGCACGGCGCCCGTACGCATTAGCAGCGCTTGTCGTGCCAACGGAGATCCAATAGAGATCTCTCGCGGGGGCAGCTGTTTGACCGTGAGGTCGGTTTGAAACGCCGGTCGAATTTCCCACGCGCTTCATGCCCCACGAACTATTCCATCACTCTCGCTTCCGATTCGGCCGCCTCGCAACCACCCCATGCTCGCAAGCACAAGGTTCACACACCGACGAATGTTCAAGAGCGCAGGCTCAGTTTGATCAACCAACCAACTCTTAACCCTAACATCTTCCCTCTCACGCTTCTTCCGTTGTCTGCTGTGTCTGTGTCGCTGCGAATATTCAATGAGCGCGCACATTGTGTGTGACCAGCTTATTGACACAACCGCCTACATAACTCTCCTACCACTACCAACGTCACTCTCACGTTTCTTCCGGTGTCTGCTGTGTCTGTGTCGCTTGTTGTTGTTGTTGACTTCACATTAAACCGTATGCCAGTTGCTAAATGCCAAAATCTAGCAAAGACTCTCGGCCCGTGGTCACGAAAGTACTGGAGCCATCTGAGGATCTAAAGAACACGCACACGTAGCAAGAAAAAGGTGTACAAGAGCCCGAAGAGGTACTACTACACCTATATATAATCCCTGCAGCACCGTACGCGTGCCCAAAACTGAACTACACGTCCGTCTCACCGTTCGACTACAGCAACATCACCCCCTACTTGTCCCACTCTGTACCAAAACGAATGATTGCCGNAACCCATGTCTAAGCAAAAGCTTGTCGAGGAGCGAGGGGAAGAAGGGAGAATCTATATTCAATGGGCGCGCACATTGTGGGTGACCAGCGTACTGACACAACCCATGCGCTTGCCCGCCTCTTACCGTTTGTTTGCTCGAGTACCCTCCCACGCACTGCGCGTGTGTGTCCAATAATGTGGCACGCGTAGTCCGTTTTCCATCCTGCGAAAATAGCATACTATCATCCAGTTGTTTTCCAGTAGATGTGAGTGTATCGGGTACTCCACGCCATTGCATGGGCGGAAGTTTCTCCTACGTTCGGAGTACGTCGCGGGATTACCATGTATTGCTGTAAACACCCTCTGGATGTCTTCAGCAAGGGGGGATATCCCGCGGCGCAATATCACTTCTCCGACACCGTGAATTATTGCCTTCCGAGTGAGGGAGGTTATGATGAGTCAGAGTCTCGTTGGATAGGGAACAGCAGCTGAGCCTTGGTGCGAGAGATCAGCAACAACAGCCACCGTCACACGAAGCGAAGTACCCAAGAAAATGTCGCGTGTTAATAAGTAACCAGTTTGTTGGAGATTTCAAGTATTTGCTTCTTGCTCCATCAAGACTACATATTATTCCTCGTGCCGAAGGCCGTAGAACCGTCACGACGCTAAACGTTTGTTGCGTGGTTTCGCATAGACCATATCAATAGAATTGACCGAACAGGCCATCTTCGCCTCTCCACCAGATTGTCGCCGAGTGCATCTTTGACACTTTGGTGTGGGAGTGTAAAGCTATCCCCCGAACTGGTGAAGAGTGGCGATTGCATGCCTACATTGCGCTGTGACATCTGCCGTACCCGGAAATAGCTTCCCAGCGTACTCGCCACACCACGTATTAGCTTCCCAGCATACTCACCGCACCACCGCGTGTGCCGTCGTCCGCCCGTGAAACTCGGAGTACCTCCCTTTAGGTTTCATCTTCCGAAGACTAAAGCAGCAGGCTGAAGCTTCAGGGACAGGAGTTGTCGAGACCGTTACTGACAGGTGCGCGGCAGCAACCAGAACTGGAGGACATGGCGCGGCAAGAGCTAGAACGTTGTCTTCTATGGAGGCCTCTTCGTCGCACCCCAGGACTCATTTGTTGCGTTGATGTCATGGTGGGGAGAAGCAGTTTTCCCGTCCTTCGTATGCTTATTCGCATCGTTGATGTCATGGTAGGGGGAAGCAGTTTTCCGGTGTTGTTATTTGGATGGTGATGTTTGGGTGTCTCTGGTGAATTCGGTGCTATCGGAGGATGAGGTTTGTTGAGGTTCAGTCGTGGTGATGGGGTTCACTTTATTGAGCCTATGTCTTTGCTCCTACTCGGTAGGCGGTACCGAGTCGATATTTGATTGGTGTGTCCACTGTGTGTAAGCGTGGATGCGTGGACTTGTTAGGTCCTGTAGGACTTGGTGCAATCATTGTCGTCATGATTGTGATAGCACTTATAGCCAGTGGTGGTTATTTGGTAAAGGCTGACCATTTGACTACATGCAAAGTCATCGATGACTTTGCACGTAGTCAAATGGTCAGCCTTTATCGAATATTTTATTTGGTAAAGGCTGACCATTTGACTACATGCAAAGTCATCGGATGACTTTGCATGTAGTAGTCAAATGGTCAAGCCTTTACCGAATAAAGGTTTCATGCACGGGTTCGAACCNGTCATCGATGACTTTGCACGTAGTCAAATGGTCAGCCTTTATCGAATATTTTATTTGGTAAAGGCTGACCATTTGACTACATGCAAAGTCATCGGATGACTTTGCATGTAGTAGTCAAATGGTCAAGCCTTTACCGAATAAAGGTTTCATGCACGGGTTCGAACCCCAGTGGATCGCTTTCAAGGCACCATTATCGGCTAATAGCAGCATCTTGTGGCGGGGGGTCCGTCCCCGGAGATCACTACACCCTATCAGATCCACTGCGATTGGCTACGAGCCGAGAGTGTATCTTTTATTCGGTAAAGGCTGACCATTTGACTACATGCAAAGTCATCGATGACTGTGCACGTAGTCAAATGGTCAGCCTTTATCGAATTGCGGTATGTCGGTCTATTCCACTGGCATGGAGATCGCTCTCCATGCCAACGACTTCACGAGAGGGTTTTGTCGAAGGTTTGTCCCTCAGAGAAGAGAGAGACGAGATGACGGCGTGACGTATCGGGTGGATTAGTTCCCATTCAAGGCATATCGGTTGATGGCGAACCTCGTAGTTCTACGATTCCTCTGGTTAAAAGTACCGGATGAGGCGTTAGTATATTATTAGTCTTTCTGTGCGTGTATTTATTTCTCCTTAATTATTAGTTGATAAATATACTAGAGGGGGGATGTTACGGTTCGGGGTATTCATTGTTCCGCAAGTGTGTTTTCGTCCTATATATTATGGCGACAGTCCCCCCATTTTTCGTGGTGAGACGTGTACTAGACTAAACTTTTCAGCGTATGTAGAGTACTACACTTTTCAGTGTATTTTTTCGTACAACTAAAACCATCCAGGGTCACACAGGAGGGGGG